ACAAGGATGAGTGCATTTAGAATTAATATTGATAACAGGTAATTCATTTAATTAACAATTTATAAATGGTTCATAATTTTATTTTATGATATTTGTAAAAATTTGTCACATTGAATAATATGTGAATTATTCAATCCAGGAATGGATAAGAAGAAAAAAAGAAAGAAGAAGATGATGACAATGAAAGTTATTAAATAATTAATCTGCTAGAGTGATCAAAGAAATAGGTTATACTCACAAAAGCTTTGGGGCAGAGTATATTCCTCCCATGCAGTCCTCAATTAAATTTTGTTTTAAAATTTAATTTTATGCCGATTAATTCATTTATATAATATTTATTTATTAATAAAAATGAAAACAAACTTGAATACCAATAAATGCCTGTTACCATTGACTTTCAAATTGCCATGTTGTAATCAATCACTTTTAAAGCAAATGATCTGTTCTTGTTTAATTGAAATAATAAATCCAACTAACTCTCCAGAAAAACATCCTAATGGAATTATGAAACGTAGTCCATTCTATTATTATCTTTGTGAAGATTGGCTAATTTGTTAAAATTTATATACCTTGTAAAGCTGCCATATATGCTGTCACATAGAAGAATCCATGAATATGTATGTAAATCAGTAATTTAAAACATGTAGGGATTTTTATAATCGTTAATTAAATTCATCTATTATATTTTTTTTATTTTTTATTTTTTTAAAAATAAATGTATTTGCATAAAAACATTCCTTGAGAAGTTTGATATCAAATTTAAAAATTTCATATTAATATTAATATTAATATTAATATTTATATTTAATTAAATAAATTAAAATATATAAAGAAAATGGTCTGATAAAGATTTCCTTTTTATTAAAATATCAAATGGAATTCCGAAATTAGAAAATTTTTTCATGCCATTATTAATAAGTGTTAATAAATAAATAAATTATCACCAATGCAAATACCATTGCCTTATTTGCAATTTTCTTCTTTTCTGCTTTGTTTTTTTTTGTAATTTTAAGATTTGAATCCTGCCATCTTGTATTTCTATATCTATTATTGGTTCTTTTTATTAAAAAAATAAACAATTAATTTTATGCTTGTTACTTGAGTGAATATTCCATAATTTAATACTTAGTTGGCAGCTTGATGATCAGCTCTATATTTCCAACAGGAAAACAATTTAAATAAGTTTCTCCGTCTATTTTTATATTTTTTATGGTCACTGAAATGATTAATATTTTTTCTTTTTGGTCATTGGTTCTAATTTCAACATTTATTTCACTTTTGTTGGTGATGGTAGTGTGAGCGTGTAAATTCAAATACAGCTCGTGATGTGTCCAATAAATGTATAAGATAAAATAAATAAAAAGTCCAATATATAACTCTCCCTGTATCAGCACACAGCTCAGGGTTCTCAATTCTCTATCTCAGGCCTCTGTATCGATACACAGCTCAGAGCCTACTCAAAACTCTATCGCGCAATTCTCTCTCTCTCTACAGTACTAATACTAAGTACTGCTGGCAAAAGCCTAAGATAAATAAAATAAATGGTATTTATACAACTACTCTAGCTAAGGCATCCCCTAGGTAGAATAGCTTTCAATCAAAGTGCTTTTCAGCAAAGGTTCGTTAAGGGTTTTTATTAAGGGCTCAAGTATTTATTGTAAAAGTGTTATGTGCCTTTATTAGCGATAATAATATTAATGATTATTATTATAGATGATCTGCACCGTAAAAAACGGATGATCTGCAAAACCTCAACTACATCGCCACCACGTGATAATTTTAAAAATTAAATTATTTTTTTGCAAAATGTTTTTAATTTCAGAGTTTTGAAATAGTTTAAAAACAGTATCGGAGTTTCAAAATAGTTAAGTAACACAATCACATGAAAAAAATATAGTCATAATAGTTTTAAATTTAAAAACAGTATCAGAGTTCCAAATTTTCGAAATAACTTTTGAATTCTCGAAATAGTTTTCGGAGTTTTGAAACGAATAATAATATTATTGTTTTGTGAGAAAAATAGTAGTTAACAAATTGATTGTTAAGGAAATTACAATAGTAATCTTATTTATTTATAATTTCTTTTTTTTTTTTTTTTTTTTTTTTTTTCCCAAGTTGAAGTTTATTTTATTGAAGTATAATTGTGTAAAATATAATAATAAAATACAAACAATTAAATAAAAAAAATAAAACTACTGCCCCTGCTTTCTTTCAATGGTTATTTATTTATAATTTCACGATAAAAATTTGGTGTAAAGTTACACAATTTGGTTCACAAAAAAGGAGTTGGGATTCTTTTTCCGTCTATTGATATTATTAATATTAATGTTAATATTACAACAAATATTTATTTATTGTTTTAAAAATAATGCTAACAGTAAAATAATAAAAATTATATATTTAAAACGAGTGTTAATATTAATGCTAATAAAGTTATTTTTTTATTTCAATTGGCAGATTAGGATTTATATGTCCACTAAGTTGCAAAAACGTAGGAATACCATCCATGTCACTTTTCAGGGTTTTATAATCGTCTTTATTTAAACTGTAAAACGTGTTGAACAAATGTCCTTTACCACCGTTCCTTGTATAATTGACAAAAATCTCTCCTTTATAACGTGGGTTATTGACTTCATTAAGAACACCGAATGTTGCAATAGGATCTTGGTCATTTGCATAGTGTTCGATACGTTTAACCAAGTTTCCCGGGTTTGTGAATTCTCTAGACGCACTTGCAAATGTATAAACCTCTAGTTTATTGAGAAATTTTTGTTCACCCGTGTAGCTTAATTCCGTATATAGTCTTCTCAAAACCAAATTTGCTATTATACAGCCTTGTGAATGTGCTATTAACCGAACAGTATTAACTTGTTTGTTTCTGAGCGCTGGGAGAATCTCTTCAACAGAAGCACGTACTGAAATTGTATCTATTTCAAAGCTTCTTTGAAAGACGACCTCTAATATATCGTAGATCACACCGTAACTTTTATTTAAAATTCCTGTAACCCCCCTATCGAAACGTTCCTCCAAATAATTACAATTTTGATCTAACCAACATTTTGTAACACAAACTCCATTAATAAAAAACCATCTTTCCTGATTATATTTATCCGGTAGTCTGGATGAACGAATATACTTGCGTTCCAAAGCCCTCAACATCGTCAGAGAATAGAAAAATAAAATTATGAAAGACAAAAGAGTCGTCACAACTACATATAGTGTACTGGCAATGTTATCTAAATATCGAAAATCAAGTTCGGCTCTTGTTTTATAATAAGTTTTAAAGGAACTGTAATGTACTGAGAATATGCTATTACGCAAGACAAATTCAACAATAAATTCATACAAATGAGTGATAAGGAATTTAATGTCTTTACTAAGATATACCCAAGGGTTTGTTTCTGTCATCTTGATAGAATATCTTAATTGGTTTTCTAAAAAAAATAAAAGAAAGAGAGGTTGACGACTGCCATATTTATAGTCTTTGATTATCTATTCCGGATCAATTACTCATTGGTGTTCAATAATATAAAAAAAAATTATATTATTGTTGGGGACAAACCCTATTGATTGTGCAAATGATTGTAACATAAAAATAATATGGAACATCTAAAAAAATGTTTAATCAAACGATAACCATCTTGTTTTTTTTATTTGTCGCAAACACATTATATTTCCATAGAATAATAGAGATTTCTGAACAGAATTATGCTGTGGCTGTCTATTTATTTTTTATCTAGAAGGATATAAAATGTGGCTTATTTAAATTGTTTCTAACATATAAATTAATTTTATCGACCATATTTAGCAAGAGAATTCAATATTATTAGAGTGATTCGATTCGTTCGGAGACTTAATTTGCGGAAATTGTTGTTACAATAAATTGGAAGAAATTGTATTGTGTTGTTATGTGAAATTGGCTAATTTGAATTTCACACATGTAAATTTGAATTTCACTTATGTGAATTGCGAATTCACATAATTTCATTTTCACGTACAACGGTTACAAACATTAAATAAGTAAATTATCGTCATTGAAACTTGGACACGATCTCACATATAAAAATTATATATACATTAATCATATATATAATTCAAAAAATATACATACATTTTCTTTTGTTGAAATGGTGACAGAAAATTTGATAAATGCTTTAGCACAGTCTGTTTACATAAATTTGATTGTACGCATAATAGTAAAACCAGTTTTATTAAATTCGGTTGCCCGAAATAAACCGGTTTTATTATATCCAGTTTATCGAATATTAATATGAAAAATAGGAACCGGTTTTAAATCGATAGTACCTAAACCGGTTCCAACCTCTAGCATTAAGTGTCAATTAGTAATATTTATGATAGAATAATTAAACCACGAGTTTTTTATTTATAACAATTGGAATATATGTGATTTGATCAAGCTGACAATGATTAAATCGAAGAGGCTAAACAAGAATACGACTTATTAATATCATTATTTGATTACATAGTAGTAATCCAAAAAAATTCGCGTATCAGGGAAAAGGTATACAGCTCGTGCTGGAATCACCTAAAAGAAAATTTTCCAAAATTTACATACGTGGAAATGTGAATCTTAAATGATTGAGTTGATAAAGTTGTGGCAGATACAAACAAGTATCATAAAATCGTTTGCAAGTTCCTTAAAAAAGCAAGAAATATGAATTTTATTTTTGATGTAAACAAGCACAATGTATTTACTTTTAATGATTTGTGCTTAATTCGTATGCTTTATGTAATGAATGATGGAGCGTTAGAATATATCTAGTAAAGATCGAAGGGGAAAAAGTGGGAAGCGTCCCGACATTATGTTTATAGCAATACATGATGGCTTATAGGAGAATATATAGAGGCCTGAAACGGGCAGATTACTATGTAGATCCTTTCTTTCAACTTAAATTCGCGTTATAATTGGTAATTTCGGTATAACGAAGTTTAAATGCAATTTACTTGTGTTCCATGGATTCGTTGAAATGCGGTTTGACTGTATGTTAAACCATGGAATCTTGAATTGTTATCATTTGAAATTTTTAGTCTGCCATAAAATTATTGATGATGATTAAATGTTCTAAAATTCAAATATATTATATAATTTATTATGGTTTATTATTGTTCTACTTTTATAATTATTCAGTTATTTTCAATGGTCTGCAAAATCATGATCTTATAAAAAAATCAATATTAAATTTCCAGATTTCGAGCTCGAGCTAAGTATAAACTCGGCCCATTGAGAGCAATATTATTATTAGTTGATGAAATAATAACATCATTTGTTGATAAAGGAGTAATTGCACCATTAATTGGAATGATGGAGTAATAGTATTGATGTAACTGGAGGAATATTTGTTGACAAAGGAGTAATTGCATTATTAGTTGAAATAATAATATTAGTTGATGGAGCAAATAGTCTTAATAGCTAGAGGAGTAATAACATCATTATTAATGGAATATTAGTTGGAGTAATGGCATTATTTGTTGATGGATTAAAGCTGATTTTTTCAAAGTTTTTTATCTTTTTGCTTGAGAATTTCATAATTTCAAAATTTGCTTGAACATATCTTGATTGTATTGTTTTCCATGAACATTGAAAACACTTTAGATTTGTCAGTACATGATTTTTGCCATTTTATAAATAAATTACGCGGTAATGTTTGCGCGAAAAATTTTGCGAGTTAAATAATATTTTTTTAAGACGATGTAATAATGTTGTTGGCTTAATTCTTAATTTTTTTTATTATTTATTTAAGTGATGTAGGCTGGCTAAGAACGCGGATAATTTTTTATCAAATAATTTACTAGACAAATAACATACTAATACTTTTTGTGAGAGCAATTGTTTTATTATCTTTATCAAGTCTATTTCTTTTCTTTGTAAATAAATCCCAATTGATGAAAAAACTTCTCAGATGGTACTGAGCTTGCCAGTATTATTACCATCACTACTATCGTTATTATTGCTATTTAATGGTTCATTATTACTAGGATTTCTATTCGAATAAGGTTTATTCGAATTATTTACAGTACATTGAAAGTTTATTTAAATAAAACGAATAAAACATTCGAATGAGAATTTGTATTACGAATAGAAACTCTATTGCTATTGCTTTATCTTTTATCATGCTACGAATATTTTGTTTGAGCAAATGTATATTTATTTCTTTTGTCACCCCAACTAAGTGTCTATGCTGCGCTAAAATTCCCAGACGTAAAAATGAATGTTAAGAAAAAATTTTTTCATCATTTTATCTGGGTCACACCACTAATAATAATAATTTAGGTGATGAGGACTCTTCAGAAATAGATGAGTTTTAGATGAACAATCAAGTGGAATTGATCTGATTTTGGACATCATAGCAAATGCCCTGAGTGATGTATTTGCCCAATTTGAAATTAATATCATTGTTATATATTTTTCAGATCATATTTATGCCATCAACGTGTAATCTGATGCATTTTCAGCACCGGAATTCTTTGCATCAACTAATTTTTTGCTTCGATTGGTTCAATTGGTTCTATTGCTTCGCCATCTTTGCAAGTAAATAAATAATATTATATATCAATTAGAATAGTTCTCAAAAAAATCATTATCCGAATCAGTTTACGTTTTTTATAAAAATAATAAACCTGTAGAGGGAATTTTGATTTATGGTAAAGGAGTTGCAAAAGGCTCATAATGTAATTCACTACTCATGATTGTGCTATTTGAAATATTTTTGAATTTTGGGAGATTAGAACATACATATTAATATATAGTCAAATTCCAAACCGCGTAACAAACCATTTTTTAAAGGGTAATATTATATATAGAAAGGTTCTGTATATTCCATAAAAAGAACCTTTCTGTATATAATATTTTAAATATTTATCTCTATATATATAGAATAAAATTGTGTCATTAAAGCTTTCTCTCGTATTGAAAGAGGATCTCTATGTAATCAAGCTATAATTATTAAAAAAAAAAGCATTACTTTATACTTCAAACTAAGGATTTTTTCAAATATTATCTTTATAAACTTGATGAGTGGTTGAGAAGGTGTAAAACATTATAATCTTTCATATGCGCATAGCTTTATGGGATCGTTTGGCATCAATCTTGAAATTTTAAATGTGAGCTATTTCACTAAAAGCTCTCCATTTCTTCAATTCATTAGACCCAAAAAATAATAATGTGATAGAGTTGTTTAATCACAATTTTATAGAATGTTTTTCACGATTTATATTGCTCGTATGAAAAATTCGAGAAGTGGCGCAGCATGTATGATTCATCATATGCTGCCAATCATTTCTCTGTATTAAAGTATATTAATATTTTAATATTAAAAATTTTTTTTTTTTTTTGTAGATTTAAAAAATACTAATACATAATTTTTTTTAACCTAGTAAAAGACTTATATTGATTCTATACAAACTCAGTATATTGGTAGAAATGCAATGGAAAAGGATATGAGTTGGAAAGTTTTTAAAGCGGATTTTGATGCTTTTATTAATGCTGTATGTCTTTTTTTCCTTTCTATATATTGATATATTGTTGTAATAATAATCAATATTCTTATTCTTGTTAATGAAATAGGTTGATTGGAAACAACCTTTGTTGATAGGAATATTTACTTTTCATATTTTGACGCTTTATCTATTAATTATATTTAGAAATAATGCAAATAGTTTGTCAATATTAACATTTGGATTACGTAAGTTTATGAAAATAATTATTTTATTTTCTATTTTTTTTTTTTTTCCAGAAAAAGCTAATAATAAATTTCTTAATTATTTAGTGTTTTTAACGGGTTTTGCATCAAAATTTAATGATATTGCAAATAAATATTGGGAAAGTTTTTCTACAGATAATTATTTTGATAAAAGTGGATTTTTTATTACAATGGTTTTCTCATTTCCTGCTTTAATAAATGCCACAATTGGAGTGGTGAGTTGTAAAAACAATTAGAATTTATTACATATATATTTATATTATAATCTTTAATTAATATTATTTCTAGATTTTGATATTAAATAATGTGATCATAATGATGAAAAGAGTAAAAAAAGCACAAATTCTTCATAAAAATGCCAAAAAAACATCACTATCAACAACAACCTCAACAACACAAACTGAAAAAGATATTCTATATTAAAAATAATTTGAATTTCTTGAAGAATTAGCTTTTATTAGAGCAAATGTGATTAATAATAATAATTAGTTGGATCTTTGTTAGAAGACTAAAACAAAAAAATAAAGAAAGTTTTAAATATTATCATTGTCTAGAGTAATATTAGGTAGAAATGCAGCAAACGTTAAATAACTGGTATGACCTCTGGTTCCTATTGGATTTTTGATGACATAAATTTGGTCAATCTTGATGTGGAGATGATGAATTGTTGTTATTGTTGTTGTTGTTGTTGTTCTTTATGTTTAGAACTTTAATGTGATTGACAGTATCTTCAACTTTATAAATTGGTATAGTTCTTACTTTATGATTACGAACAACATTCTTAACATTCTAGAAATGTATAAGTAATTATCCAATATAATTTATTTATTTTTTTTTGAGAGGAAATTTACCAACAAATTCATTCTCTTTTAGCATTTTCTGCGCATGAACTAAAAAAACATAAAATGATTCCAAAAAATTATTTATTTAATTATACATCTTATATATTACATACAATATATACACACACGCATCCACCTCTTTAGTGATGAAATAGCACTCACTCCAAGATACAGACAAACATTAAAAAAAAACTATTCAAGATCTATATTTAATATATATGTATATGTATATGTATATGTATAAAGCGCGTACACTCTCTCCCTCTTCGTATATATCTCCCACCAGCAAGTATCTACTAAACCTTTAAGCCCAAAACCATTTTACAAACATCTTTACATTCTATTGTAATCACACCAGAAAGATTATATTCTATAGAAGGAAAGCATTGAGTGAGTATTTGTATATTATCCACAGATTATATCAATATATAATTATTTTTCAGTTTTTGTGCGTTAAATTTTTTGAATCTCGTGTAACTTAAATTTTCTTGCATATAAATAAAATTTTTTTTAAATTTCAAAATTAAAAAAATGCGCAAACCAAAAGATTCCTTTTCACGTAATTTGATTCGAATGTCATGGTCAAAAAAGAATTTATATATAATTTCAACAAGAGCAAATCGATTGCCAAGACTGCAGAATAGAACATTGTTTCAACAACGATGGCAAGCTAAAAAAGATACAAGAGCATACCATGGAGCACAGTTGAACGAACGTCAATTTCACAGAATGTTTGATCCTCTACTACCAACTACAATTCATATCGCCAACAATGATGTTAATAATCAAAAGAAATCTATCTTTAATCTTTTAAAGAATAAATCAACTGATGAAACATCCAAAATAATACCAACATCTGTGTTAGCATATGCCACACTTGAAAGAAGGTTAGATTTTATTGTATTTAGAAGCTGTTTTGCTCCTAGTATTTGGTCTGCTAGACAAATGGTCAGACACGGTAAAGTTTTTGTGGATGGTAAAAAGGTAATTAGTTGATAATAGTGATAATAATAATAATATTGGCTTTGATGTGTAAAATAATAATAATAAGAAAAATTTTATTATCATCAGGTAAATGCACCATCATATCTAGCAAAAGATGGCGAAGTAATTTCAGTAAAACCATCAGCAATTACGTTCTTGTTAGATCCATCACCGTCAAAACCATCAAAGCCATTAGAAAAATCAGCGCCATCGGAAAAATCACAAGCATCATCAGAATCATCCTCCACTTCATCATCTCCAACCCCATCTCCAACATCATCTACCTCATCGTCTCCAACACCATCCACCCCATCAGAATCACCTTCCACTTCATCATCCCCAACGTCCTCCACCTCATCATCTCCAACACCTTCAGCCTCATCAGAACTACCTCCCACCTCATCATCAGAACCACCTCCCACTTCATCATCCCCAACGTCCTCTACCTCATCATCTCCAACGTCCTCTACCTCATCATCTCCAACATCTTCCACCTCATCAAAATCATCATCCATGTCATCATCTCCAACATCTTCTACTTTCGCCTCGTCCTTATCATCGTCATCATCAAAAGAAGGATTATTATTTAAACCAATACCATATATGCAACCATTTTTATTTATACCAGAATATTTAGAAGTGAATTTTAATACTTGCTCTACAATATTCCTACGTGATCCAATCCTAAGACCAAATAGAACAGAAATTCCTTCCCCGTTTCCACCTGAGTTACACTCATTAGCTCATGAATTCTATACTATGAGAATAGGTAATAAAAAAGGTAAAAGGAAGAAAAGACTGGAGGATAAATACGAGAAATTTAAAATTAATATATCAATAGATTAATAAATGACAATATTTTTGGAGATGGTAAACTTTTTATTCGTTATCTTTATTCGTAGCAATATAAAATTGTAAAAAATATAAAGTTAAAATGAATTGGCATCAAATATATATGCTGAGATATAGCCATACACCATATTAATAAGCACAGTGTGACGATGGTTCTTACCATCAAAGTTTTTTTTTAAAAATGAATTAATTTTTATTATTTTTGTAATTATTTATCAAATCTTATTTATTCTCAAACACATAATTTCATTGGTCATATATAGTGGAAATAGGTTTCTAGATTTATTATTGAATTTTTTTGATCTTCATAAAGCATTTTAAATCTTTTTTCTCTCGATTCTTTTCTAAACCTCCTTCAATCTCTCCAACAAATTCAAATCCACTTTTTCGTAATACTTTCTCGCTTCCAATATTATCTTTAAATATCATTCCATATATTTTTTCACAATTAAATTCTTTGAAAAATATTTCATTTGTAATAAAATCAACTGCTGAAGTTGCTATACCAAGATTTTTATAGTCAGATGATACATAATATCCAATTTCATAGTCGTTTCTTTTCGGAAGCCTCAAAACAGTCGTCCTCTCACCAACCTTTTCCTCGTCGTCATTCACATCATTATCTTCTTCTTCTTCCTTCATAAATAAATAAGGTCGATCTACTAATGTATGACATCCTATACAACCGATCAATTCCATTTTATCATTTCTAATTGCCCATGTTGTGCACTTTCCTAACTTCTCATAGACATTCTGACAATGCCTTACAAAATATTCGGCATTCGATAACTGATAAGGATAAGGTATCATGGATGTCCATTTATGTATATCGCGCGATGATTCATTTTCAGGACGCAATAATGAGTAAAGTTGTGGAATGTCGGATGTTTCAAGTTTTGACAAATAAAATGATGATGTCGATGATGACGGTGATAATTTATATGGACCAATGTATTTTATTGAAAATTTAGACATTTCTCATGTGATTAATACAAATATATATCTATCTACCTTCCAAACTTGAAAGAATTTTTTGATGGGAGAGATTTAAATACCTTTTCTGTCTATTAATGAATGACTTGAGTCATTCTTACACACGAAAATTGTATGTTTCACACACTTGTTGTGCCCCTATTACATATTAATATAAAAGCAGGGACATAAAATGGGTACAAATGTATTTCAAAAAAAAGTTACTTAGCAGGGTGACAATGGATTAAAGAAAATTAAAGAAATGTCACTCATTGGTCGGATCGTTGGGGTGATCTGCAATGTATGAGTCACCATATTACTATGGTGAATAGATTTTTTGATTTGTTAATATATCATACTGACAATAACAATCCTTGATAATCTATTTAAAATTATTTTATGATTATAGTGGCGTGATAATAAAATGTGATAAATTATAAAAAAACAGAATCTTCCATTCAAAAAAACTCTTGGATAATATAACCGTGTGCACCGATCTTTGAATTCGGGGCTCTTACACTTTTTTATTTTCTGCCAACTCTAACTGTTTCTGTACCATTGTTTATAATAACCAAATATATCGCGTGGTGTAATATGATGAATTTCTAAAAAAAAATTCAAATTTGTATATACTTACATGTTCTGAATATGCATATATATATTTATGCGACGAAATATAAAAAATCAAAAAGTAAATAACAAGTTAATTATATTTATTTCTCCTATGATTGTTACTAATACTACTAATCTTGCTATTATCAATAAGACCAACAAACATGGCATTTTATCTTTCCGAAGGGTAAAGTAAATATTTATTATTTTATTTTTTTATTTTTTAAATAAAGATTTTGTTTCAACATAATATAAATTACAAGTTGTGAATTAAATTTTTTCCGGTTATAATAATTAATTATTAATACAATTTACATATTACAAAATAAAAATTAAAGCAAGATGAGAATTAAACTAAATCGAACAAAACAAATTCCGCTGCTTTGTCACCCACATTCTCAAATTTAATTTTGTCTCCAGCTTTAACATCTGTTATGAAGACTCCGTCTCCTGGCTTCAACGTCAATTGATCCTCGTCATCGTTAACTTTTAATTCACCACCGGTAGATGTTAAATGAACATATACTCTTCTAATATCACTACTACTATCATTGCTATTTTTATCAACGTCACCATTACTTGTGAAATTGTAGATGTCATTTTTTTGAATAATATGCGCAACTTTTTTATTAGGTTCTAATAAACTTGCAAACATATGAAAATCAGAGTGTATTCCAATAGTATTTTTTGAATTTTCATCAACATCACCATTGTGAATTTTGTCGTTGAATGGAGAGATTGTATGCGTTAAATTATTTAGTTTCACCGTATCGGGAAAAGACTTGGTATAATAGGCAGGTTTGAGATGAGATTGGTTAGGTTTGACCCAAATTTGTAAGAAATGAACAGATTTAGTTGGATGAATGTTATATTCGGAATGTGTGATTCCAGTACCAGCAGTAGTGAATTGTATATCGCCACGCTTTAATATTTCTACATTTCCCATCGCTGTTGAAAAGAATTAATATAATAATAATAGTAATAATAATTAGGAATTAATTTATTAAATTGTTTAATGATTAGTTTCTAATAATTTGGAAAATAAAGAAACAAGCTGCTTACAATCTTTATGTTGTAATTCGCCGGAAATAATATAAGAAAAAATTTCAAATTCACGATGTGGATGAGCACCGAAACCAGTATTTGGTTTTACTTTGTCTTCATTTATTACACGTAATGATCCAAAACTTTGATATTTTGCATCAAAGTAACTTGCAAATGAAAAAGTATGATAAGTATCTAACCATCCGTGATTATCATGTCCTAAATACAAATATATGCGTTAAAATAATGCTAATAATGTTGATGAATACTGAAAGAATAAGAAGAAATTTTTTACCTCTGTCTCCAGATTTTCTTAATTCAAATTTACCACCAGATTTGAAGTTTTTGAGGATTGATTTATCAAGTTTTTGAAATAATAAATTATTCATTTTTACTAATTACTTTTTATTTTATTTTATTTTTTTAATTTTAATTTTTACCTTTACATTTTTTCTTGTGGTATTTATACTTTTTTATTTTTACACAAAAAAAAAAATTTCAAATCAATGATTACAAATTTGCAGATCAAAATTAATAATTTTTTAGTGTAACAAATAATAACTATTTAAGGAATTGGAAGATTAAACAAATAACAATGTTTAATAATCATAATGTTTAATAATCATAATGTTTAATAATGATCACGTTTAATAATCATACAACAACCATGTAATTAATAACTTTTTAGAATTAAAGATTTTTTATACATTTTCAAATCAACCAAGCCGACAGGTATATTAATAAATGCATCAACTCGAATTACAAGCCTCCGTACCGCTGTGGATGTCTTCGTCCTAGCTATTGTTCGTTTATTTCTTTATCCAACCCAAGAATTATCAAAGAGAGAAGTAAAAATCGTAGTGAGCTCACTACAAAAAATTGACGCCACTGTTATAATAATGATTATTGCGATTTAATAAACACATTTGGATAGAATATATATAAAGTATTAAGAGAGATGTTGTAAAAGCTTTGGACTTATAAGAAAGTAACAGAAAACCATTTGATTTGCAATTTATTACGCACCGTATTTTTATTATGCGAGTTTAATTAAATACGCTGGTAAAAATCAAGTATCTTAAACAATTGATTGGGATAACCGACTTATCGAGCCTGTCGGTGTATTCTAGTATTGAATAATAGTAGGTGTTTAGATTAGCTCTAATGACTCTTTTATTACAAGACAAATATTTGATCATTCGATATAATTAAACAAGAAATAATCACGAATTTGCCAAAATAGGAAATAATATCGCACATAGTAGGGGAAAAGGTCTTGATGCTACATTTAGCGTGGTCTTTGATCTAAGTTAAGAAATCGAAAAGCATTTGAAAATTACTTGTGATAATGCTGACGGACAAAATAAAAACAATCTAATTATTTGATTTATTTATTTTGGATTGGTAGAAACTCCCTAGAAAAATAAGTGTAGATCGTTAAGCGTAATAATTAACATTATGACCAACCAATAATTAGTCAATAAATGACAAAAAGTATTTGATTACCTTGATGAAAAAATAGGTCGACGTCCAACAGGTATCTGTTATGATAATGATGGCGGAATACATTCATTGAGACAATAATCTTTATGAAAAAGAAGAAGAAACAAAAATCTAGACATATTGAGGAGAAACCAATAGATTAATCGACAGTGGAAGGATTACTGATTATTATTTAAATAACTGCCTTTAGGGAAAAAGATAAGTAATTTGTTTAATTTACCGGCAAGCAATATCAACAACTTCAAGATATAGATGAAAAATATGGTGATATAAAAGATTGTTATGTAATGAAGTTGATGAGATTAACACTTGGAATTTTCTCATATATTGATAGAACATGAAAGAAATAGGATTCTAATTAGTTTAGGAAGATGGTTAAGATTGAAATGTCTAATTCCAAGAATGACAAGAAACTTTTAAAGTAAAAAATGCCAAAAATTCGAAGAATTAGAAGCTAAACAAGATGCTACTTTAAGAATTCTTTGATGAATATGAATCATTTCTGTCACGCTCTCTTGACATTTCAAATAAATCAAGTAAACAATTTTCTTGCTTAATCAAGAAAACAGAAAAAATAATGAATATTTTGAAAAAAAAAACACAAGAGTTGCTCAAGGACCCTGAACAGATGTGCGGCGGATAAATCATGTAGATCTTTCTAAATATATAAATTAATTTATAATCTCCATCATTAATACGTATTAATAATCATGATTTGTAAAAAATTACTAATATTATGAGACTTGCCCTGGAACAAAAAAAAATTTGTTTTTTTAGTTTTTTTTTTTAAAATGAAATACAGTTATTGTAAAAAAAATTTTTTTTATTATATTTGTTTACTATAATTAATTATAGATGGGTTTCTAAATTACACATTTCGACATGTATAAATATTAACATTAATATTAATATTTAAATAATTTAAATAATTTACAATCTGAAATTGCGATTTTTAAAAGTAATGTACCAACTTTAGTTAGAACGCGTCAACATTCCTTGCTTGCATATCGCTATTATTTTTATAATATATATATATATATAGTTAAATTGATAGACCATATTAACATTAAATATTACTAATCACTAATGGATAGATCTTGATCATCAAAAAAGTTCGTGAAACGTGCATTTTAATAAAAGTTGGGTTCCGAAAAATTTTTTTTAAAGTAAAATATTTTAAATTTTTTAAATTAATTATTTTAATTAAATGGGACCTCACTCTAAAGATGATAATTTATTTGTAGAACCAATTAATACTATTAACATTAATGTAAATTTGCCCAAAAATACAACAAACTTAACATTACCAAACCATTCAAAACGAACACATTCAAATGAACCGACAAAAAATCATAAATCAAAATTTAGAACAGGAACGACAGTATTAACTCCACCTATTACTCCACCTATTATTACGAGTAACAATAATTCATTTTTTACAACAGATAATAATAATAACATTAACATTAATAACAACATTAACATTAATAATAATAATAATAATAATAATAATAATAATAATAATAATACTATCAATAATAATACTATTAATAATAATAATAATAATAATAATAATATTAACAACAAATCAAAATTAATAGTAGAATGTCAAGTACGTGCACGTATTCCAACTCTAACAAAAGGAGAATTTTTTTTGAATTTATATAAAAATAATAAGGACAATAAGGAACATTTAACAATTATATATGGGAATGACATACGTAGTAAAAGTTTAGATAGACCACGACCGGGTGAAAAGGAAATAGATAGAATGATAAGAGGTGCATACACAGGTAGATTAAGACCTGGGCAAACCAAATCGGATGAACTAGACGAATCGATTAATAACATTTCAACAAATGAACAACAATCACCATTAGTAAGAATCCATTCAGAATGTTTTACGGGTGAAACTGTACATAGTGCAAGATGTGATTGTGGTGAACAATTGGAAGAAGCAATGAGATTGATTCAATCTGAAGGTCGTGGAGTCATTGTATATTTGAGACAAGAAGGAAGAGGTATTGGATTGGCTGATAAACTTCGGTAAGAAAAATAATAATGATTCTATATTATTATTATTATTATTTTTTTTTTTTGATTGTAAATCCTAATAATAATAGTAATAATAATAATAATTTGATTTTTAATATATATTATTAATTAAGAGCGTATAATCTTCAAGATTTAGGGCATGATACAGTGACTGCTAATTTACTTTTACATCACTCTCCTGATCTTCGGAATTATGATATTGCCAATCAAATTCTTAAAGATCTTAATTTAAAATCTATAAGATTATTGACTAATAATCCTGATAAAATTAAACAAATCAATGAATCAGGAATTAAAGTGGCTGAACGTATTCCGATGATACCTAACTTATGGAAAGAAAATAATATTGCTACTAATAATAATAATAATAATAGTAGTAGTCATAGTGGTCATAGTATTAGTAATACGAGTAGTATTAGTAGTATTAGTGGTAGTGTTAGTATTGGTAACAATAATGGTGAAGAATTGAATAAATACCTTAAAGTAAAGGTTGAGAAAATGAGACATTTATTAAATATTCCCGAAATATTGCTCAAATAAGTTAGAATTCATTAGAATTAATAATTCATTTATTTATTAAAGTTATTTATTTATTTATTCTTTAATTTATAATTTTATTCATTAAAAAACAATTAATAGACGTGATTTCTGAAGTAAATAAAATTTCAAGTTTATATATCCAAGAAAAATTCAAAAATACAAGAGTATTTTTGAAAAAGATTATACGAGTATATATTACGAACCACTCTAAAATATTTTGAATATCTGAATATGGATGGTTGTACATAAACCTGTCTTGTGTACTATGAAAGTCACCCCACACAAGCTGCGTGTATCAAATTCAACACTATAGCGCATTTTTTATTTTACTATTATCATTATTGCACGTAGTCAAGAATACAAATAACCATCAATTTAACGCAATTCGACGTTTTGATTTTTTTTAGTTGTAATGATATTAACATATTAATATAAATTAAACCATTTCATTGTTGCAACTACTATATATGGGCCCATTATGTTGCATACAGTATTATACGACGTGATATAATACTAATACGGTATTAATATTATACCAGGTATTATTAGTATTAATTTAGAAATTTTATGGTTGTTAAATTCGGTATACGTGTAAATCAAATCCCAGCTATAACGAACATAAGATAAATGTTTCGTCATATAGAGGATTTACTGTATTTTCAGGATTTTTATTTTCATCCAATTAATACGTAGAAAAATATAAGTCAAAAATTGTCAGAGCATTTGCTTGCACGGGAGGAAAAATACTCGGACCCAAAGCCATTGTAAGTATTACTTATTCCTTGGGCACTCTGACAAAAACATTATTACTGCCGCTGATAATATTGTATATTCCTTGATTTCATTATCTTTATCTTCGATTTTCATCTCTTCTTTTCTTTATTGGCCTACCGTTGAATTACTTGTATTGTTTTTCTTCTAGGATAGAAGATTTTGATCGTGAATGATTGCAATAATTTCTCTCTTTTCCAAGCAATTCACAAACTTCAAGAGCCATAAAAGCCTGTCCAATAGACTTTCAATTTCAGAGGAGTATTTGAAACCATATTTGTATAATTAAAATAATATGCATATTGATATTGTTTTGTGATTGTTATTATCGATAATACGTTTATAATTGTAAATTATTCACCATTTATATAATATTTCTATTATTACTATCAGTCGTGTGATAATATCACATGAAATAAATAATTGCATTTTTATGATTTTTCAGTTTGTATATTAAGAACAAAATGTTTTTAAAACTCATTATTTTCATAAAACTACACCGCTAAAGCTTTCTAGCGAATCTTTTTTTATGTTGAAAGAAGCACTCTATTTGGAGGTACGGCCATTCAAAATGGTGCCACGTTTTCACTTCAATTTCACATTAGGTGTCTTAAAAAGTGACCAAAAAGGTATAGAATATTTTTACTTTATGTGGATTTTATATTATTAGAGAAAATAGCAAAAATGTATAAAAAAAAAATGTTCATAAATGCATCACTATAATTTTTAGGAAAGTGCACTACAATAACAGAATAAAATACGTATTCACTGTATAAAATCCTAAATCTTTAAATAGCAAGGTTTTTTAAACTATAATTTTAATTCTAATAATACACAATTATAATTACTATTATTATTATTATTATAATTTATTTTTTATAGGTCGCCAAAAACTTTTAAAAGTTTTCTAGTTTTTGTCTATTCCACTAGATTAAAATATTCACGAGATCGAATAAAGAAGAATGTTGATTAATTTCTTCAGGCAAGCTTTCATTATGATAACTATATTTTTTTTAATGGTATTAAGAATTTATAACATGCATCATATCTGAAGATTCATTGTTGATATAAAGACATTACAATTCATATCTATAAAACAATATTGCTAATACCAATACTAGCGAGCTTTTTAATAATTGAACTATTGGGAAAAGAGAAAAATTAAATATGTAACCGAGGGTTACTCTAACAATGAAAAACACAAGAATTTAAAAATACAAAAACCGAAAGAATTTATTTAAAATCAAGAAATAGCAAAGAAAACTCTGAACAAAATTTTAATTTGAAATTAAAAAAGAGGATAGTCGTCGTTTCCCACAGAATACATTAGAAACATATTGCTATCACAAATTAAAGAGTTATTATCATTATCATGATAATTGTTATTGCTGTAATTTCCATTCATTAATCTTCCGCTATTGACAATACTGTTTATATATGGAGAAAGTGAACGTGGAAAAGTTTGATTACTATCTATAATATGAGGTGAGTTAACCGGAAATGGAGTTGGTAATTGAGGTGTTTGCGTCGGTGGAAGGGTTGAAGGAGTGATTTTTGGTGATTTTTTTTTATCAGATTTCCTGAATTTCTTAGCAATGAGATTCACATGACCGTTATTGGGGCTGGAAAAAAGTTCTATGTACCTCCTTTCATATAAAACCTTCACTTCTTTGGCAATTTTTCTGTAGAATTCCTTATGGTCTTCGGATTCATCATGCCATTTTCTCCCGATGAAGCTCGAAACTTCCGTCATTTTATAATAACGCCCAGTAGCAGCTTTTATTAGTAGAACCCAAGCTTTACGATAAATAAAAAAACTGTTTGGTGTTTTGTTTTTGTTTTTATTCCTTTTTCTTATTTTTCTATTTTTTGATACGTCACGATCATCATCGCTGTCAAAATACTTTAGGAAATAATTGGCATTGATATTAAAGTCCGGCGGTGGGGGACATGATAAAGACAAATCAACAAGCTCCGGTAATTCTCTAGGGACCTCTCTTTTTTTAAAAATACGATTATGCCTTTTTATAATTTGTCCATTCTCACTTGAAGAAGGACAATTTTCATAAATAAATAGAAATGTTGAATTATCGGTACAAGACATTTTGATTGATTTATGTGAATAGTTTTTACGTGTAAATTTCAAAATTTAAGTTTTTGAACAAAAAAACAAAAAAAAAAGGAAATCCATGTATATTCATATTTATATAAAATAATTAGATCGTAGTTAAGTGAATTGGAAGAATTTTAAAAGGTTTTCCGAGAGTAGAGGAATATTGTCTAAAAGGAATATTTATTATTATATATTGATATTCGTAACGCGAGCATCATCGGTTATTTTGTTATTTTACGTAGTACTGGGCACAATAATCGACAACACTGTCCGAGTCAATAAGTGGTCTTCTAATTCAGAAGATTATGTTTATAAATAACTCAGCATTGCTTGAATAAAGAAAACAATAACAAGTTTCGATCCAATCATATTCAAAGCTGATCTCTGGTAAGTAGTACTCTATTCAATCCAACATCCATAACCTGTTTTTAGTTAGGAGTTGAACAACCGAACCTGTTAAACTAGTTATGGAATATTTTGTTTTATTATTATTTACAATTATATATTTATTGCTTAAGATTCTGGCTTGCTTCAGGATGTAAATTATCCGTGTTTTGCCGATTGTAACAGAGAAATCAGCACCAGAAGCTTGAACAGAGGAAAGTTGCGGTGCTATTATTTCTGCTTTTTTATTTTTTTTTTTGAATCATTAAATACAAATCATTTTCTTTTGGTTTTTGATTTTTGAATTATTATTAACATTTATATAAAAAGGCGTGAAAAAAAAAATCCAGATATTTTTTGATCTTTTCCTTATTTGTGAAAGCCTTCGAACTGCGCTCTTTTGTTCTTCAAAAAAGGAAACATCCCCCAGTTACAAAGAAATAAAGAGACAGAATCAACAATCCAATTGCTTATTATTATTTCAATGCAAGAAAATCAAAAAGGTGGAAAAATTTTTGCTACAATTCTAATACATTTTAAAAACAATAATATTATACAAACGTTATTGATAACATACTAGTAAATACAATTACTAATTATATTTACTGAATAAACTATTACTATTACTATTTTTGATCTGTATATAATCATTAATTGTTTATAATAACAATTGGTCAACTTCAAAATACTAAATAAAAAACAATCATATTATTTTAAAAAAATTTAACCGATAGTTTTATTGTTCATGACTCAAGCTTCAAAACTTATCGGCTGGTTTTTTCTTAAACTGAAAATTGCCATCTTGAAAATTCCGAATTTTGTTATATACGCTTAAGAAATTGAGACAAAGTAAATTTCGTGTAACAACTTTTTTTTCATTGAATATTTTCTACAACATACATTTGATTTATTTGATTTATTTATTTCCCTTTTTTTATTAATAAATAAAAAGTTATTTTACAACAAAAAAGTTTAACGAACATATTACATTAAAAAAATCATTACCAAATTTGGTCGTGAGATTTAAAATATTGTGACACGAAAATTATATATATATATATATATATGACTATTATCTACAATGTCATATATAGATGTCAAAACTTTTATTTAGGAAAAAAAAATAGTATTTATCTTTGAGATCGTATAATAGGTTTATTCTTACATTTTGAATCAAGAATTTTAGTCGATGTAATTTATTCGCAAAGAAACAATTCTTTATCATAATATTTTTGAAAAGATGCGTGTGTGGTATATATATATATATAGTTTCTACGCGTGAGCATGAGTAGTAAGATGAAACTGGAAAAGTTATTTTTTCGTCCGAGTCTCTGTATCCTGGTCAGGATGTTATTAGCACTAATGCCAGAGAACTTTTTTTTATTTTCGCCGATTAATTTTTTATTACAATTAGCTACTCCTCGTCAAAAGTGAACTCTTGTTATAATGGAAAAAGATATGAATCAAGGGTTCACTCTAACTATCTTTGTCCCGTATACACAATATGAAAACTAGAGGAATTTAAAACTAAAGAATTTATTTATACATTTATATATATTTTTATAAATAAAAATTACAAAAATAAACCTAGAATCTATTAGAAACTCTAAAAAGAGGAGGCAAACCAAAATTAGAGACTGAAAGAAATAGTAAGCAAGAAACGGCAGAAGAAAAAGAAAGTCAAGAAAAGATTTTAATTTGAAATTAGAATAAAGGATATTCATTGAATTCCCCAAAATCATACAGGTACTTATTATTATTATAATTATCAATAATAAAGTTACCACTATGATAATTATTTGATGACTCTGCATTGTTGCTGTTACTATCATTGGTATTATTGTGATTGTTTAACGTTGCTTCTATTGTATTGGGAGCCTTCGATATTTTCATCAAGTTTTCAACTTTTACTTTTTTTTTTTTTGCCGCTTCTGATAATGTAAAGGGCTGTACCTTCTTAACCGATCCACCTTTTGCTTTTTTGGATTTATGTTTATGACTATTAAAGTTACTTGTTCCATTGTTGATAAATGTAAATGGAGGATCTGATAAAAAACCTTGATTTGTCGAAATTGCAGGTAGTGAGGACATTTGATTGTTATTATTCTGTGGTGATCCAATTGGATATGGCAGTTGTAACAGAGTTGGTGGACCAGAGGTTAATTCGAAGCGTGTTGATTTTGGTAATTGTTTTTTAGCAGATTTCTTGAATCTATTGTTATTCAAAGTGATATTAATGAGACCACATGATCATTATCGTTTTTGGAAATAAGTTTTATCTACGTACCTCTTGTAATACAAAACCTTCACTTCTTTGGCAATTTTTCTATAGAATTCTTTATGATCTTCAGATTCATTACGCCATTTTCTTCGAATAAAATGCGAAATTTCTGCTGTTTTATAATCACGTCCGGTGATAACTTTGATTTGCACAATCCAAGCTTTACGATAAATGAAAAGACTGTTTAGTAGCTTCGGTTTAATTTTATTCTTGTTTTTATTGGTGATTTTCTTTTTCAATGTTTTTAATGCATCACTATCAAAATACTTTACAAAGTATCTAGCATTAATATTAAAGTCCGGTGGTGGAGGGCACGGCAAGGATAAAGGATCTGGTAACTTTTTAGGTTCTTTTTCTTCTTCTTCAAGTCTTTTGCCATTATCGATCATTCTACATTCTGAACTTGGATCTTTTTCACCAATCAATTTATATCTTGAATCATCGATGTAGATCATTTTGATTAAGATGAGTGAATGATTTGTGATTTAAATGTAGGTGAGTAGATATAAATAATAAATTTACGTGTAAAATTGTAAAATTTAATATTTTGTGTCAAAAAGTATGTATATTTATAAGTGATTATGACTGTTGTGACACCCGATCCAAAATTAGTAATTAAAATCATTTAAAATGTGGACATAAAAGGGTGTTCAAAGCTGTTCGTTCCTGTTCCTTGTTACATGACCAAAAACTAACTGATCTGAAGGAACAGAAAACGGGAACAGAATAATATTCAGTTAATCGAAATATTTAGTGAATAATATCTTGTGTAATTGAATTGAAATCTTCTCACGTCCAAATAAATTCATCTGTTCATTTCTAATTAAATTAATTATTTCACTTCCATTCATTTAAAAGCCTTCAGTCACTACAATAGGAGGTAATGGTATATACGATCACGAGAGAGGAGGAGCCTTCTACTGCTTATATTTTGAAGAAAAGAAAGTAAAGGGTTATTCTAATAAGTCAAGTTGGATATGAAAAGATGATCCATTTTGTGGTGGAAGGAAAAATATATTTCCTGTTTTGTCAAAATTTGCTATTAAATATTTGTGTGCACATGCAACGTCCACTCCAAATATATAGTGAGAAATTATTTAGTCATTCCGGAAATATAATGACCTCAAAAGAACAAAATTTAATCCACCTTTGTTTGAAAGGTTGTGTTTTTTTTTTTTGAAAAAAAATATTGATAATTTTGATAGAATGTACAACTGAATAATTATATTAAATTTAATTGATTGAATATTCAGTATGACTTGGTGATGTGAATTTTTAACCCTTCTTACATTTAATAACTTCAAATTACCTATTAACTATCGCACTCACACAACTTTACAGGTTTCCGTGATTCTATGATATAAAGAAGAAACCATGTTATGTCACAAAAAATATATTATATAGTGCAGGACATCTGTAATGGTCAATGATTATCACATGACTTTAAAAGCTTATAACTCCTTATTAAAAAAAAGGAAAAAAGAAAATTGATAGAATTAAAGCTAAAGACCAAGCTTCATTTCCATCAGTTTACCTTTTTGAGTTATAAGGCTTCAAATTTCGGAATGACCTTCCCTTGTGTTTCCTAAAAGGCTCAAAAATTTTCGTGATACATAAAATTTTTCCAATAAAAGAAATATGATTATGATTACTTGAAATTTCGGATTATGACATTTAAGGGTGCTCAATCATCTGAGACCCATGTGTTTGAGCACGTGAATTAGTGTATTCCCTAAAAATTCTAATGTACATAACAATGGCCAATCAAAAAGAAATGTGCGGATCTAACCAAATTTGGTAATCATTTGCTAAATCAGCCGATAATTACTGAGCCCGCACGTCCCACACTGAATTTTTATCAATCATTATTTGATTCTCACTAGATTACGACAAAATAATAAATTTTCTGATTTCCATTACCTAATAGGGATTATACAATAACTCTGATCTTAAAATGAAGACTTTATTTTTTAAATTTACTCCCGTGTCAGATTATCGTTATTATTTACTTGTAATAATTAAATTAAAATATCATAGCATAGTTATTATTAATAATGAAACTGACTCAGGAGGAGCAATAGGCTATAAAGTATGTATAAAAAATCCTTGCTGAAAAGGGACAAGCAGGTAAAAATAATAGTAAGAGATAATCGGTGATTGTTGTGCGTGAATTTGGAATCTGCGCCAATTTGAAATTCAAATTAGCCAATCAGAATTTTGTATTCAAACATCCACCCCAAAATTTATTTTCACGCAGCAACATTATTATTTGGAATTCTATCCCATTCCTCCGTCATATGCTTGCTCTAATTCTGGGAGATCTTTAGGTCTGCGCATTTCCATATTTCTTTTTTAGAATTGCCCAAAGGGTTAAGTCTGATCAGTACATAACTTTGACAAATCCTACCTACATGCTTGGGGTCATTGTCTCGCTAGAAACGTCAATTGTTTCCATGCATTCTGTTGATCCCCTGCTTGTGTCTTCGTAAACATATCAATATAAAAATTTACATTCGTAATTCCTCTGAACTTAATATATTGTTTATTCAAAACGTGATTGCAAATCACTTTTATTGAAAAGTTATATTATTAATATTTAACACTATTTAAAATCATATAAATAATATTATGAATGAATATAATAATAAAATAATATAAAGAAAAACGTTTTAAATCTTCATAAACTATATAATATTAAAAATATTACAATATTGTATATAATCTCTATCATTATTATTAATGAATTCAATGAATTGTCACTTGGATATTCCAAGATCTTACGGCTCTACTATCAATTAAGCTTTTTTCAGAGTCGCAATTTTCTTTAACACTAGAAACCTTTATAAGCTGCAGATTACACTTCATTCTTATCACTCTCATCACCATCCTCGTCTTCTTCTAAATCTATATCACCATCTTCTTCTTCTTCCAATCCAACATCATCATCATCATCACTTTCATCATTTAATCCATTCACTATTCTGATTATTAAATCTATTTTACCTATAAATCCATCCCTTGCTTTAGAAATTTCATCGAATACATTATCGTTTGTTAATAAACGTAAATGAGTTATCCATTTTCCTATTGATGGTTTCAACCTTGAATCAACATCCAAAACTTCAGGTAATGTTATTTTTTTATTTTTATCTTCATCAATAATAATGCCTTCAACAATCTTCCACCCCAGTAACTTCGTATCTAATACAATCCACCCAACACAAAATTCTGCTAAATCATGAACATTCTTCAATATGTCGTCCTCCATAGAAGCTTCAAATTCAAGCATTTCTCCAAAACCATTATTATTATTATTATTATTTACTCCCATCTTTTTCTTTAATGATATAGCATAATAAGCTTTATTTGCACAATTGATTGATGCTTCTAATTTTCCATTCATTAATAATATAAATGAAAATAATCCCATGGCAATAATTTCTTTATTTATATTATTGACGGTTTTTGGATATTCGTCTTTCAATCTACTCATAATATTTTCGCCAACAACGTTGTTCCCTTGAGTAAATGCCTCAACTGCACATCCAACCAACGCATACCAATGTGAAATAGACTGTTGTGTCGTGATTTTTAACAAATCAATAAAACTATATTTACATCTAGATGCCTCTTTCTTTTTACCAAACTTTGAAGATATAAAATCATAAAAAGAATTTTTAAGATGGAAAAGAGCCTGTGCATCAGTTAAATATGTAAGGGGAATGGTAGTATTATTGATATTATTTGCAACAGTAGAAATGGTTGCAGCGGTGCCATTGGAATTAGAATGATTATTATTATTACTTTTCGTATTGCTAATAAGTTTGTCTTCATTTCGAAATAATTGATCTCTAATTTCATTTGCGATTCTTTTCCATAGATTATCACCTTCATTACATGCCAGTGCTATTTCAAGCCATTTATCTTGATCGCTACTACTATTTCTTCTTTTATTATTTGCCAATTTCCAGAAATGCGAGACTGCCTTTTGAGAAATAAATGGAATTGAATTTAGTCCAATATAACATTGAAAAGCTGCATTGGCATAAATGCGTGATGGACTAATGTAAAATGGTTTACGATTGTTGTATGGATTTTCCAATAAATTGATTGTTCGAAAGCATGTATATAAAATGGAAATTCGTGAAACTTTTTTATTTCCTATTATATTGGCAGAAATAAAAAAAGAAGAGAGAGAAAATATCGTTTTTAGAAAACATCATCACCATAAACATCATCAAATTTATTTTAAAAGCAAAAGTTTTTCGGAAACTTACCACCACACAATTCAACTTCGCCAGTTCTAGCCCAAAGTTCAACTTCCAATGTTCTTTCATCAATATCTAACAGACTAGAAGCGTCAGAAATTTCCCAACCCAAAAACTTTCTTAACAACAATTTAAAAGCTTCAGATATAAAACCAATTATTAACTCAAAATAGTTCATTTGTAGACTTTGCGTAAGATGAGAAAGTGATCGATAATATGCTTTTATATCTTTAGTTTTAAGGGTTAATGCTGACATTATAGTTGATTTTTTTCTATGAACTTGACGTGTTTGATTGGAAAATAAAGAAGGTCGAATAATATAAGTAAAACATATGAGAAAAGTAAAAGCACGAATTAAATACCTAAAAAAAAAATTCAATTAATTAATGATAATTTAATAAATAAATAAATAAATAAATAAATAAATATATATATATATATGTACTGTAAATGCTTACCAAATATCAATGGTAACTTTTCCATCATCAAGGATATTTTTAGGTGCAAGAGTTTCAGTTGCTTCATTTTGAACACTTGATATGACATGACCTTTATTGTGATGATGCATATGATCATGATCTTGTTGAAGATAAGATCCTGGGGGTGAGAAGAAAGTCATACACATGAATAAAGCCATTAATGCTCTTGAACCAGCATTTCTATCTGGAGTTAATGGTGGTGTATCAAAATCTTCTTGAGTAACAGAAGACGGTGACTCAGGATATGATGATTCTGGAGTATTAACACCAGGCGTTTTTTGTTGTTCAGTATAGTCATTATATAATTTAATTCCTCCTTTTAATGATTCAATAATCTTTCGTAATTTATCATTATCCTCCTTAGCTTTTACGTTAGTCTTTTTCAAATAAATAATATATTCTGTAGCTTTTCTTAAAATTGTAGCCTTATTCAACTTTCTTGCGGCTGGAATACCATCGATTTCTTCAACCTCATCGTCATCTTTAGTTTTCAAATGGCAAAGAGCTGGCACAACACTTTTAAGTTCATTGATACGATCATTTATGTTATTTCTATAACGACGTTCAATAACGTTGTGAGCAACTTTCTTTTGTTGTTTGTTTGCATTCGTAGTAGGTTGATTAACTTGATTTTGTGTTGAGGTATTTTTAAGACGTGATATAGGAACTTTTGCATTTTGTGAAGTTCCGTTGCCTTGAATTGAAATAAAAGAAAATTTAGAGATTTGATTTGTAGATAAATAAATCTAAATATACATATAGAATAAAAAAAAATTTTCAACAAAATGATGGATTATTGAATGAAATCAAACTTACCAATAATCTCTCCATTATTTTTTGAATTTAAATTACTCATAAAATTATTACTAGTCATAGGAGTGATTGTATTAGTAGGTGTAGTTGTTGTTGTTGTTGTAGTACTATCAGTTTGATTCCAATTAGATTGATCAAAAGTTGGTAATGGGTTATTTGGAATTTGTTCAAGATTTAAAATGTTTTGTGATAATACATCCAAATCCATCATTGAAACAGGAATTATTTCAGAAAATGATGACGAAGGAGAAGATAAGTTATTATCACCTTTAGAATCTTCTTTAAAACTTTTTTTCAAATTTGATTTTAATTCATTATTTGTTTTTTTTGTGTTTTTTGTATTTTTAGCTATGCTGTCAGGACCTTTATGTTTCTTTTTCAGTAAAGTCTTATCGATAGACACAAGATTTTTAGCAGGTTGTGGACTTTTTTTCAAATTGCTGTTGTTATTATCATTTGTAAAAATATCAAAATCATCTTTTTTTCCTAATAATTGATCAAAAGAATTTTCCATTGTAAAATCGTCAAAGTCATTTATTTTTATATCGTTTGGCGAAATTGTAAAATCTTGAGTGTTGAATGTTGGAGATAAAATATTACTATTCATTCCATAATTATCATCAAATGATGACGATGTTGTTGTAAATGAATTTGGAGTGAAATTATTGTCACTTGAAGAAATCAACGAACTTAATATTTCAGGAGAACTGAAAATACTATTATCAGTTGGATATTGAAAGTTGTCGTATAGACTATTGTTGACAAAAGAGTTCAAATCATCATCATTATTATTAATACCGAACATTGCTTGAATTTGTGCATCGATATTAAGATCATTTATTGAATTGGATTGAAAAGTAATACTGTTTTCGTTATTACTATCATCGTTGTTGTTTTCTAAGTTGTCTGATGATTTATTGTTGTTATATGATGAATTATTCATTAGAAGATCTTGAATTTCAGCTTGTTGTTGTAATTCGCTCAGTAAATTATTGTTAGTTTCAAACATTGTGTATTATTTTTACTTTTATTATTTTTTTTTTTTTTTGGGATATTTATATAAATATAATCGTGATGATGATTTGTTAATATTTGATCAGGCTATATATTTTTAAATTAAATATATATATGGAATTAATTTGGGTAATCAAACCTAATCGCCCAATTAAACTGTCATTATATATATACAAAATTGCGTGTTATATTGTTTTTTATTCTTTATTAATGGCCGATCCTTATTTATCAAATTTTGGGGTAAAAATTTTGACGATCTACTATTTCTACTATATATGTATTACTATTAATTATATCAATGACAAAAAAAAAATTTCCTGAAGAATTAAACTATTACTATTTAAATTCAATACATTTTATGTATTAAAAGTGCCTAATGTTTCTTCTGCTATTTTCAACCTGCGTAGGTTTTAGTTATTTCAATTGGCAGCTCTCCATATTCCACATATTCCAATTCTTTGTGCATATTTTCAGCTACCATTTTTTTTGGTTCAGATTTACTGTTCATTATGAAACATAAACTTCTGGTAAACTTTTGACCTTTGGACTTATTCTTTTAACGAATTCATTTAGCACCCACCCTGAAACAAGAGACATCAATAATGTTTTTATGGTGCAAAACACCTAGTCCCGCAGCTTTTCATTGGTCTTGTAGATCCTTTAGTATTCCAGCAATGGTTTTGAAGACCCAAGCCTCAAATTTGCACAGGTTTACTATATACGGGACTGTCTACAGCAAAAACCACTACTAATTTGTGTTTTTTACATAGACATAACTTGTGACCTGTTTACTTAAAATGAAATTGATCTACATACCCCATTTTTTATTGTTACATGTAATAATTTAAATAAAATTTTTATGTTAACTTTGTAGTTTTTAAAAGTAATGTATATTTGGGGCATGCTGTAAGTGAACATTGGTATTGCCAATATTTCAGGGATCAAAATTTAGTAACGTGATTAAAATCTTCCATTTGTTATCTATCCTCTTAATATTAGGTGATATATAGAATTACCTCTATATAAAAATAGTTAATATGAAATTAATTTACATCAGATCTACTATGGAACCCAAGAA